GGCCTGGATGACCTGGACCTCCTGGGCAAGACACTGCTGCAGCAGTCTTTGCCTCCAGAATCTCAACAAGTGCGATGGTAAGCCCTCGGTAGTGCAGTCTCGCATCTCTTGGCATTGTTTTCATTTCTGGGGTGCTGGACATCATCTCAGTGCCCTGTTCCACTCCTTGCTCTCTCCCCACTGCAGGGAGAAGCAGCAACCACCCCCTCGGCTCACCCTGAGGGATCTGCAGAACAGGAGCAGCTCTGGCACCACAGCCCACAATCCCAGTGCTCCGCCTGTGCTCCAGAGTATTTCCCCTAACCCCACGCTGCCTCTGACCTCAGAGCTGCCTGTCCCTGCTACGCTTCCAAAAGCTGCCACCACACCAGCAGGAAGTGCTGCAGTGCCACCACGGCCTCCTGCCACTGCGCTGCCCCAGGAGATCTCGCTGGCCAACATCACTGTGCCTCTGGAGTCAATCAAACCCAGTGAGCTGGGGGAAAAGAGGGGGGCAGGCGTGGGGGGGTTAAACCCTGCACACATGGAAGGGAAGAATGTGAAGAAACTTCTTGCTTGTTGGATTTTGTGGAGGCTGAAGAGGAATGGTGTCTCTGTCACTTTTATGGAGTTAGGGTGATGGGGAAAGGTGCTGTCAGGCCAGTTCCCTTCTGGCTGACTGCTGTGTGTCTGTGCCTTTCCCACAGGCAGCATTCTCCCTGTGACAGTGTATGATCAGCAGATGGGGAAAGGTACTGTCAGGCCAGTTCCCTCCTGGCTGACTGCTGCGTGTCCCTGCCTTTCCCACAGGCAGCATTCTCCCTGTGACAGTGTATGATCAGCATGGCTTCCGTGTCCTCTTCCACTTTGCTAAGGATGCCCTGCCCGAGAGGCCTGATGTGCTTGTGGTGGTGATTTCTATGCTCAGCACGGCCCCGCAGCCCATCCGCAATATTGTCTTTCAGTCTGCCGTCCCCAAGGTAAGAAGCTGCTGGGGCCAAGGTCCCAAACTGGGCCAAGGCATGATGCTACTTCTGCAGGAAAAGCAGGGTGGATGGAGAGAGCTCTGTGAGCATGGGAGCAAATTGTGTTACCTTCAGATTAGCAGTTTTTCTCTTTGACTAGGCAGCGGAAGCTTCCCAAGTGCAGGAGCAGGGCTTCTGGCTGCCAAGTCACTCAGGAATGTGATCACTCTCTTCTCTCACTCTCTCCCTAGATAATGAAGGTGAAGCTACAGCCTCCCTCAGGCACTGAGCTGCCAGCGTTCAATCCCATCGTCCACCCCAGTGCCATCACCCAAGTCCTGCTGCTCGCTAACCCACAGAAGGTGACAGCACAAACAGGGGCTGGTCTTGGTGCTTAGGCAAAGCCTCACTCCCCTATCCCCGCTCCCTCTACTCAGCAGTATCTGAGATGTGAATGGTTTGTGCCTCATGCCTTTCTTCCCCTTCTTCTGACTGCTTATCCTTTTTCTCCCATCTCCAGGAGAAAGTGAGGCTACGGTACAAACTGACCTTCACCATGGGAGAGCAAATCTACAATGAAATTGGGGACGTGGACCAGTTTCCTCCTCCAGAATCCTGGGGAAACCTCTAGGGCCACATGTTGCAGGCACTACACTGAAGATTCCTTGGGAAGCCAACCCTGTGGGGCTGGAGCAGCCAGAGGAAATGGGAGGGTGGGTGGGAGCTGGTGCTCACGCTCTATTCTCCAGATGGCCGGGCAAGGGCCAGAGGGAGCATGCCTCAAGGAGGAGAGCAGAGATGCCAGGAGATGTTAATCTCACAGGACTAGAAGTGGAGTGGAAAGCTTCATGTGTGTGAACAGTTGCCTTCCCTGCTCTTCTGAGGATGACGCTCCCTCCCCAGTCTGTCCAGCTTCTCTTCTAACCCTGCTTTCCTGCTTTAGGTGCATAGGGGAACAAGGATAGGGAGCTATAACAATCTCAGCCCAGGGCAAAGCCTAGCAAAGGAAGATCCTTTTCCTTGTCTGCCCCCTCCATACTTCTCAGCCCTTCAGCTACTTCGTGCTCTATGGTGCTCTCTCTTGTCCCCCTTGCCCCCTCCTTAGAGCTGGGCCACCAGATTGCATCTGGTGGGATCACACTGGAGCTGATGAGGAACAGGGCTGAGCAGAGCCTAGGTATCTCTCCAGCACCAGAGAGCAGACAGCTGTCTTTGCTTTGGAGGAGGTGGGGGTGGTCAGGGCGAGTGATCATCACATATCTCTGTCCTAGCTGCTCACAGAGCTGTTGGTGAGAGGTGGGGCCTCGGGCTGGAAAGGGCTTGCTCTGTGCCTTCCCAGCCCCTTCAGCTGGCGTTCTGAACCCCTGCAGCAGGGAAGCCTACACCATTCCCACAGGCTTTATCTATCATAGCAGGCTTTGGGAACGGTGGCCAGAGAGGGGTGTGCTGTGGGGTTTCAGTCTGCCTGCAGCCTCCTGGCAGATGGGGAGAGGAAGCAGCAGTGAGACTTCCTTTCCCTGGCTGGGCTGGAGAGCTTGGTGGAGCAGGGGGGTTTTCTCAGCTCTTCAGTGTCCTCTTGCACAGGGGTGAGTGATGGGCTGGGAGCTGGGCGAGATGGGAGCCCAGCTCATCACCACCAAGCTCTGCACTGGGGCGCGGGGGGGTTCAGCTGTGCCTTGTGCACCTTTGCTGCAGCTGAGGGCAGGCCTGGCTCCCTGTGGCAGGGAGGGGGCTCGCCCCGGCCGCCTGATCACTGTGACACAAGAGCTGGGATCTGCAGGCACAGAGGAGACCGAGGGTAGCACATCCCAAGCAATCCCCCATCCCATGGGACTTAAAACCATGGAAGCTGCTTCCCATCCCTAAGCTGGTTTGGAGAGGGCCTGATCATAAAAAGCAGAGGGAAGCTGTGCTCTGCATTGGTTTGCCAGAGGTAGGAGGAAGCATGTGTGAGATGGAGACGAGCAGGGTGCCTCACACTCCTGGCTCAGGGCAGCGAAGGTGGTGTGTCTCAGAGCTGGGCACAGCGGGCAGTAAAGGGGAGGGGGAAGCAAGGTCTTTATGCTGGGATTCTGCTGTCTTACTTCCCTTTCCCATCTCTTCAGGGTTTTGTATGGGTTTTTTCTTTGCAGATCTTGTTTGGTTCTTGAATAGACTTGTATATATTTTCAGTGCAAAATTCTGTAAATGGAAGAAAACAAACATTTAAAACGAGACGCCCGGCGCGAAGAATCTGCTGTATTTATGGGAAATAAAGAGTTCTTTCCGGATCTTGCTCCTCTGTCTTTTGACCCAAGGCCCTTACCTTCCTGGACCCCTGAGGAGCTTTTCTGCACCCTGCCCAGCTCAAGTCCTGCCCCTTCAGTCCCGTAGTTCATCCCTCAGTCACTCAGGCCCTTGCCACGATGATTTCCCTGCTCCCATGAGCAGGGAGCAGGGATGGTGGAATTCCCCTGGCAGTTCTCAATTCCTTTTTTGAGAGCAGTCACTTCCAGGCTGTGAACTGGGTGCTGCCCACTTCCCTCCTGCCCCATGGAGAGGCAGTGGGCAGGAATCTGTGCCTGACAGCCCACGGGGAAAAAGGGCTTGAGCTGTCTCCCATGCCCCACATGACTGCAGCTTCACCACTGCCGGCAGCAGCACGTGGAAGCAGCTCCATGAGGCAGTTTTATTTCAGGAGTACAAAGGGGGATCTCCTCTGGCTGGGAGCAGCTCTGATACTGGATATAAGGAATGGTCTAGACACCCCTTGATGGATCTGGGATTTGCTGCATCTTTGCAACAGGGGCTTGAAGCACCTGCCTGTTAGGAGCGCCCAGGGCTTGATGGTGGGGGATCAGATGTGCTCTGGCACAGCTTGAGAACAGCCTGGTGTTTCGGGCAGGGAGACAGTGGTGCTCTGTCACCCCATAACCACTTGAAAACAGCTGCCATCACTGCTTTGCAGTAACTGCAGACTTGACCCTTGCCAAGAAGCACAACCTAGCAGCCCTCAAATTTTTGCTCCTCCAGGTTCAGGGCACAGATAGAGTGCCCCTTCTGCCTCATTTTCCTTTGCTGCTTGCCTCTTCTGCCCACGAGCTGACCGCTTCTCTTTTTGGTTTGGTTTGCTGCTTCCTTTGCCAGCCATGTAACCCAGCCAACAGCAACCTCTGCCCTCTCTCAGTGCAGGTGAAAAGTCCTATCTGCAGGTAGCCACAAATAACGTGAGATACACATCTCATAGAGTCAACACCAAAAGTCGTGGGGTTGCGAAGTGGATGTTTTTCGACAAAAAGAGAAAAAAAAAAAAAAAAAGGATATGAGCTCTGGTGCAGCTCTGCAGAGAGCAGGCAACAGCTGAGCCTGAGAACCGGGAGTTTGCGGTCCCCGTGCAACTGCGGGCCCTGCTCGGAGGAGCTGCTCCGGGGGAGGGACCTCCCGAAGGCGCAAGGCAGCAGCCTTGGCCGCAGCTTTGCGGTGGCTCCGGGGAGCCTCAGCGACGGCAGGGGGGGAAAGCAGCCCGAGGGGTGCAGGGGTGGCTTTGCTGCTTGTGCTTCGCCGCGTTTGTCACAACAAGGCGGCATGTCGCAGGGGAAGAGGGTGGAGCTGTGCCCGTGAGCACGGAGCGGTGCTGAGGAGGGTGGCAGAGCGGGTGACCAGGTGGGGCAGGGTGTACATCGGCCCCTACGAGCTGCACGGGCAGCTGAGCTGGCACAGCTGGTGGTGGGCACGGGAAGGAAGGAAGGGGAACCACCCCAGCTGAGACAGCGCAAGAAAGAGCGTGGGCCCTTCGCTCGGGCTCGGCATGGCATGTGCTTGTCCTGCCTTGTTATGTGTGTGCTGTAATAAAATTTCCCCTTTAAGGCTGGGCTGAAGTTATTTTTACTTGTGGGCTGGTGACAGGAACACAGAACGGAGCAGGAGCTCTGAACTGTTCTTACCTGATCTGTGGCAGAGGGGCGGACGGAGGAGGAAGGAAGCTCAGAAAAGGAGAGGGAGTGAGAGAACGGAGCTCAAGGGAGGGGAAAAGAAAGCAGGCAGGGCATCCCTAGGGAGGGACTAAGGAGGGGACCAGCGGGGGAAACTGAAAAAGAGGGAACGAGGGAGGGAAGAAGAGGAGTAAGGAGGGAGAGGTCCTCCGGGAAAAGCAAAGTGGCTCCGGGGAGAAGAGGGGCTGCAGGCATCCGATGCCAAGCATTCCCGAGGGGAGCTGAGCGGGTACGGCCAAGCAGAGCAGCTTTTGTGGTCTCCTCCTGACTCTCAAGATGATGAAAAGACAGTTCAATCGAATGCGCCAGCAGCTGTCCCATCCCAACGCCACCATTAGGTAAGGACACCTCCACTGCCAGCACCGGAGGGAGCGGATGCGGGTCCTGGAGGGCTTGTGCTGGGGCTGGTGGCCTGGAAAAGGGGAAAGCAGGGGAGAACCTTTAGGGGTTTGAGCATCTTCAGCATAAGCTGAGTGGCTTTGGGAAGGCTGCATTGGTGCTGCTCAGCAGTAAATGATCCTCAAGCCCAGTTACCTCTCCCAGGGCCCACATTCCTGCATTCACCAGGAAGCAGGACTTTCCCAAGCTTGGCTTCGCCAGGATGTGGGGCAGTGGGGCAATGGGGAGGGATCTTCCAGCCACATGCCCCTGGCTGTGCAATGACCAGGAGGGGGATCAGGCTGGGAGCTGCCTCCCTGCTGAGTCTGGGGTGCCCCACAGGAACCAAATGCCCTGCACAGCTGTAGCCAGCCCAGAAGCATCAGCAGACCAGCATGCCCTTTGAGGAAAGAACCAGGGGTGCTCAGATGGACCCACAGAGGACTTACAGCTTGACACAGAACCCTCTGTCCCTGTTCTACCTCTGCCATTTCCTTCTTTTTCTCTTTGGCTTTCCAAAGCTCTCCCCTTGCAAAACCCAGAACTGAAATTACAGGGCTGGGCCCTCGCTGCCCAGCCCCCTCACTCCCTTTCCCACTGCCACCTCTGCAGGTTCCCAGCACTGGGTGGCTAAGTGGGACCAAGCATGTCCCCTGAACCACTGGGGTCCTCCAGCCAGCCCAGCAAATCAACCACAAGGATGCAGCTCCTGTGTGCTGGCAGCCTCTTGCTCTTCTTGCATTCCCTGGAAGGGAGCACCATGCCCCTTCCCATTCCTCTTCCCCTCAAGATTTTTCATCTCCATGGCAGATGTGCCTCCTTTTTGCTTAGTGTCAGGCAGGCAAGCCTCAAGCACCTTGTGAAGTCCAAGAGCAAGCTTTTCACCTCCTGTAGAGCCTCTCCTGTATGGCCATGACCTCACATGATCTTGCTTGCCTTCAACCAAACCAGCCATGTTTCCTGCAGCTCCCCATCCTTGTCCCACGTTGGCTTTGGCAGACAGTGAAAAGAGAGAAATGTGAGCTGGGGAAAAAGCAGCAGCAGATGGAAATCAAATGGGGTTCCTGGGACATAGCAATGATAGCAGGCTGTGAAGCAAGTCTTCCTCTATAGGAGGCATCAGCAAGGTTTTAGGGTCACGGTGGCTGGTGGGTTTTGAATTTGGTTTTGAACAGAAACACAAAAAGATGGATTTGTGTAGGCATTTCTGGAGGTATCAGGGAGGTTTTAGGGTCGTGATAGCTGATGGGTTTTGAATTTGGTTTTGAGCAGAACCACAAAAAGCTGGGTTTGTGTAGGCATTTCTGGTGGGGCTGGTGTTGGTCTTGGACCCTATCCAGACCACAAGGACACCCTTGCTCCTGCACCAGAGGTCCCACAGCTACTGAGTGCCCTGGCCTGCAAAGACACATGCCAGACTGCAGCATCACTGTCCTGGATTCACCTTCAGGGGAGAGATGGGCCAGTCAGGGGCAGCAAACTTCCTGCTCCTGTTGTGGCCCTGCTGAGCACTCTGACTCCAACAACACAGGTCCCATCTGGACTTTTTGAGTGAGGTGCACTGAACTGGAAACCCTGTCTGATGGGGTGTCCAGCAGCCAGCAAAATTGGCTCCCTTGCCCTGCTCCTGCTGTTCTTGGCCTTCCAGGCTCGTTCTACCCACAGCCCTGTATCTGATGGTCCAGGCTGTGTCTCCTGCTCCCAGGAGCCCAAAGAGAGGCTGGTAGGATGCAGAAGGACCTGCCTTCCCAAAGAAGCTGGGTGGAGGCCATCCCCATTCGCTTATGGTTCCTTCTCCTTCCTCTGCAGAGCCCAAGAAGCAACTGAGCTCCTGTCAGAAGATTTGCTGCAGGTGAGGTGTGGGCTGGGCCGGCAGGCCTGTGGCTGCTTGTGCCTGGGCGTGGGAGCCTGCCCCGCTCCTGCCTGCCATTCGCCCTGCCAGCACGTCCCAGTCGTGGGCTGGGATCTGCCCGCCCGCCAGAGGCTGATTTCAGGACCATGGTGTCAAGGGACTGGCAGACTCCTGCTACCAGGAAGGGCTGTCCCAGCTGCTCACAGAGGGATGAATCCTCACCAGGAGTTGTGCTCCTTTTTCACTGGACCAGGTGCTCCAGCTGTGGCAGGAGGCTGGGCAGGTGTCGTGCTTTGACACTGGCCAAATGCCATGCACTCACGAAAGTTGCTCACTCATCCTCCCCTACCACAGCTGGGCAGAGGAGAGAAAAATTTAATGAAGGCTTTGTGAGTTAAGGACCAGGAGAAAACACTCCAAGGGCAAAACAGGCTCGACTTAGAGGTACAAAGTGAATTTATTGCTAACAAAATCAGAGGAGGATAATGAGAAGTAAAATAAGCCCTTAGAAACCTTTTCTTCCCCCAACCTTTCCCTCCTTCCCACTGACAGTGCAGGGGACAGGGCGTGGGGGGTTTTGCCAATTCATCACCCGAGATTGTCTTCCCCTACTGAGGGAGAGGAGTCCTTCTGCTGCTCTGCTGCACCATGTGGTCCCTCCCACGGGAGGCCTGAGTTCTCTGTGAACTTCTGCAGCCTGGCTCCAAATCTCCTCAGCAGCAGTGTTCCCAAAACCGCTGCAGCATGGGTCACTCTTCCACAGTGTGCAGTCATCCAAGGACAGCTGCTCCAGCCTGGAAGCAGGGGCCCTCTCTCAGCGGGTCTCCCACTGGATCACAGCCTCCTCCCGCTCCAGTGTCAGCACCTCCCCCAGGGGCTGTGGCTGGATCTCTGTCCCCTGTGGATCCCCATGGGTGCAGGGGCACAGCTGCTGCACCATGGTCTCACCATGGTGTGTAGAGGAATCTCAGCTCCAGTGCCTGGAGAACTTCCTCCCCTCCTTCTCCACTGACCCTGGTGTCTCCATGTTGTTTCCTTCACATGTTCTCACCTCCTTCTCTTCTCTGGCTAAGAAAAAAATGTGTCCCCACTTTGTTTTGATTTTATTCTTAAATATGTTTTCACAGAGGCATCACCACTATCTCCAATTGGCCCAGGCTTGGCCAGCAGCATGTCCATCCTCAGAGCCACCAGGGATTGGCTCTGCTGGACATGGTGGAAGCTTCTGGCAGCTTCTCACAGAAGCCACCTCTGTGCCCCCCGCTACCAAAAACCAGCCCGTGCAAAACCAACCCAGCTGGCCATCCTCTCCCAGAGCTGGGTAGTGGGGAGATGGCCTGGAGGTGCCAAAATGGCTTCCCCAGTCCCATTTTTCTGCCCACAGATTGAGCAGAGAATTGAGCCGGCCAAGCGAGCAGCTCACAGTGTGTCCAAGAGGCTCCAAGCCTGCCTGCAGGGACAGTGTGGCTCCGAGATGGACAAGCGAGTGGTGAGAACAATCTTCCCACCACAGCCTGTGCTCACCCCAGCTCTGTCCCTTGCCAAAAACAGGGATGCCAGCCCCCTGCTTTGCCAGCTTTGCTGAAGGGTGGCCCAAAGCTGTGCCAGGCCCAGATCCGTTTGTCAGCAGTGGCCTTCAGCATGTGCCTGGGATGAACAGAGCAGGGCAAAGCCCCCTGCTTTGCCAGCTTTGCTGAAGGGTGGCCCAAAGCTGTGCCAGGCCCAGATCCCTTTGTCAGCATGTGCCTGGGATGAGCAGAGCAGGGCATCCCTCTCAACCATCACTAATTTGGGACACTCCTGAGAGACAGTGGCTTTGCATTGAATAACCCTCCAAAGCCCTTGCTGTCTATGCTCCTTCCCAAACCCCCATGAACTCTGAACCCCGTGAACTATGAACCCATGGTGCCCTGTGGTGAGGAGCACCACAGTGTGGCCAGGCACAATGGTGTCACCACTTTTCTCCCAAATCCTTGGCTCTGTGCAGAAGAAGCTGCCCTTGATGGCTCTGTCCATGGCGATGGCTGAGAGCTTCAAGGAACTGGACACAGAGTCTAGCCTTGGGTAAGTACTGGTTGGAGAAAGTGCCAGGGTGACCCTAAAAGGTGCCAGATCCTGGTAGTGACACTGTCTTGGCTCAGGGGCTCAAACCATGGCTCAAACCATGTCCCCAGAGCAAACACTGGTGTTGCACTGGGAGAAGGGACAGCCAGCACCTTCAGCCTCCAATTGCAGAGCAGGGCCAGGGGCTGGCTCAGGGTCCCACGTGGGTACAGGTACAGTGGGGTTGCTGGGTCAGAGAGGGGCATGGCTCCAGCCCCTCTCAGTCTTTCATCTCTGTCCCACACAGGAAAGCCCTGGAGATGGGCTGCTGTATTCAGAGCTCGCTGGCCAAAATCGTGGCTGAGTTTGAGATTGCCCTGGAGCACGATGTCCTGCAGCCTCTCAACAAGCTCAGTGAGGTAGTCCTGGCTGCTGCACTGGCTCCACTCTCCAGTCTCACCACTCCTTCCTGTGTCCCCACGCCTCCCGCACTCACTCCTGCCCTCTCTGCCCCAGGAGGAGCTCCCCACCATCCTGAAGCGCAAGAAGACGCTCCAGAAGTTGATTTCTGACTGGAACACAATCAAGAGCCGGTATGGGGCACCCTGCAGCCTGGGACCCAGGGCATACAGAGCACAGCCCCCAGACAGGCTGGGGGAGGCAGGAGGATAATTGCCCTGGACAGTCAATTTCCAATAGCCCTTCAGGAGCACCCAGCTAGCTCCTCTCTGTGGGTACATCCTGCTCCAGGCTCAGATGCTGATTCCACAGCACCAGAGAGAAGGGCAGCTCTGCTGGTAAAGGCAGCAAAGTGCCCTAGTGCTGCTTGGTACACTGAGATCACCTCATTCCAACTCTTGCCAGGGGTAGCCCTTGCCATGCCAGATTTCTCTGAAAGTCTGCACACCTGTTCTACCCAACATTCCTGGCACTGAGACCATAAATGTGCCTCTTCTTTCCCACCCCAAAGGCTGAACCAAGCTGCCAAGAGTTCCAGTAACAGCACTGGGGCTGGCGCTGGCCCAGGGGCATCTTCTGCTGCCAACAAACTGGAGCTCTTGAAGGAAGAAGAGGAGGAGGTGAAGAGGAAGGTGGAGCAGTGCAAGGTGAGATGGTCACTTGCTCTCCCTATGGATCAGCTCCAGGGCTGCAGACCTGCTCCCCTCCAGCAGTCTTGTCCAAGGTGACCCCATGCTGAGATGGACTGCAGCCAGCCAGCGTGTCCTGCCCTCTGAAAGCAATGGGCCCCTCATGCAGAAACAGGGAGATGGCCCAAGCCCAGGGAAGAAAAGGAGTAAAGGAATTCAAAGTGCAAGCTGCTGCAGAGAGGAGGGTCCAGGGCCAAATCAGGGAGCATATGGGGTCCCCTCAGGCTGGAAAACAGCTGAGCTAGGATCTGTCATGGGTGGGAGGGAGGTTTCCCATCAGCTTCCTCCACTTCTGCCCTGTGTCTCTGAAAAGCCCAGCACCTCATCAGGCAGAGCTCATGAGCTCAGTGGAGCTGAAGGTGCAGAGACCTCTTGTTCCTGAGCCACTTGTGCCAGGAATTTGATCATGGGGCAGGTTGCTGCCACTACCCAAACACAACTAATGGAAGCAAGGAGAAAGCCCCACTGCACCCAGAGACCCTATCTAGATCACTCACAGACCAGGTGAAAGGGCTTCATGAAGGTGTCTCCTCCTCCTCGGGTGCCAGGGTGGGGATGGAAGATTGCTCTTCGTTGTGTCTCCCTTCCCAGGATGAGTACATGGCTGACCTCTACCACTTCTCCACCAAAGAGGACATCTACGCCAGCTACTTCATCAAAGTAAGTCCTCTGTCTCACCTTCCCCCACTGTGTGAACATCAACTGCAACATGTCTGAGCCCAGCCTTGCCCTCCACACCAAGTGCCCCCAAGCAGGGCAGGGGACAGATCCAGGCATCAGCAGATGCCCACAGCTGGCCTTGCTCCAGCCACTGCGGGTTAATGCCACCGCTAGCACCAAGTGCAAACAGGCAGCTTGTCCTGATGATATCCCTCTCCAATTTGCCCTCTACCCCTCACTACAGACACAATCCCATGGACCCCAGGTGGGCTCCCCTTGCAGCTCCCTCTTTGTCCTGTCTTCATGTGGGTGCAATGTCCTGGGAATGGGCACCTCTCCAAGAGGAGCTGGTGCCAACTGAATACTATTTGCCTGTCCCCCTCCTGGCAGCTATTGGAAATCCAAGCCCAGTACCACCGGCAGTCACTGGAATCTCTGGACTCAGCTCTAGCAGAGCTGAGGGAATGCCACAGACAGACAGGTACTCACTGGCTCTCCATGCAGCCTGGCAAGGGCTGCAGCTGGGCCTGGGGGATACAAGTGTGACCAGCAAAGCTGGAAAAGGCTCATTTTCCCTCCCTACACCTGCTGCTGCCTGCTGTGTTGGGCTGGTAGGTTGGGGGCCACAGCATGACACAGGCTGGGGATGCTGCCTGAGCTGCCTCTGTAGCCAGCCAAGTTTGGCTTGGAGCAGGATGTTGCCATGGCCAAATGCTGGGTGGTGCCAGAGTCCACCATCCCTCTTGACATTTTCCTTCCTCTTCCAGAACCTTCCTTCACAACAGACACCCCAGTGGCAGGGTACTATGGTGTGTCCCTAGAGACACACCTCAAGAGCTTGGGCCGGGAGATTGCGCTTCCCATCGAAGCCTGTGTCATGATGCTGTTGGCTTCTGGCATGAAGGAGGAGGTAGGGAGTGCTCCAGACCCCCTCAGCACCTTTCTTCCCCCAGATGCACTCCTCCCAAACTCAGAATGCATCCCGTCCCTCTTCATCCCATCCCCAGGGACTGTTCAGGCTGGCAGCGGGTGCCTCAGTGCTGAGGAAGCTGAAGAGCAGCTTGGCCAGCGGGTCCAATGCTCTGGAGGAGTTTTACTCAGACCCCCACGCTGTGGCTGGTGAGTGCCAGCAAGGCAGGGTGGGGGGACATGATTGGGCAGTGCCTGCCATCCCTCAGCTGCCATCAGCTCCACCTCTCTCCCAGGTGCACTGAAATCCTACCTGCGGGAGCTGCCCCAGCCTTTGATGACCTTTGAACTCTATGATGAATGGGTCAAAGCTGCCAGGTGGGTCCAGGCACTGGGGTGGAAATCCCTGGCACGTCTCAAAAAGCCCCCAGTCAACCCCTTCCATCCTTCCAGGCACTTGGAGCAGGGCTGCTGTGTCCCACTTGGGGAGATTCAGACACAGAGCCTGTCCTGCCTTCACTGCCCAGCAAAGCAGCACATCTCCACCCCCAGGGCTATGGCCCGCACGGGGCAGCCAACACTGCCCTTCCTCCTTGTCCACTGTGTCCCCCTCTGCCACAGGGAACAGGCCGAGCTCTGCTGCTCCTTCTCTCTTACAGCTTAAAGGACATGGACAGCCGCCTGCAGAGCCTGCGAGACACCTGCAGCCGCCTGCCCCAGGACAGCTACAACAATCTCAGGTGCTTTGCTGGAACAGGGCTTCTTCAGCCCCAGGCAATCACCAGGGGTAGCCATTCCCTCCTCAAATCCCGACCTACTAAACCCCTGCCCTCCTTTCACCCCACAGGTATCTGATCAAGTTTTTGGCCAAGCTGGCTGAACACCAGGAGGTGAATAAAATGACCCCCAGCAACATTGCCATTGTGCTGGGCCCAAACCTGCTGTGGTCACAGCAGAGCACAGGGTAAGGTCTGGTTTGAAGGGGTGGGAGGCAACTCCCTAGCCCCAGCTGGGATGCCCTGAAGGCAAATGCCATGGCAAAGGCTGATCCAGCAGCCTTCAGGCTGGTCTAAAGCACTTACACCTCTTCCATCCTCAAGTCCTGTCCCGTGTTCCCATGCTCCCCAGGTTGCATGTCCCCTCACCAAGCACATGTCCTCTTAGCCACTCTGCAAAATAGCAGAGGAGGGGGCTGAGACCCAAAGCACTCATGACATGGGTGGCTTTCAACACCACTGGTCTCCAACACCAAACCAGGGTTCCCAGAACAGGGAAAAAGCCCATCACCCATGTTGTCATGGCCCTTGGCTGGGCTACCTTCCCAGCAGACCCTGACCCCTGTGGAATGAACACAAAAACCCACTTGGGGTTAATACCCCCAAACCCTTTTTTGATGCCTCCCCCACCCCTGTTCTCAGAGACCCCATGCAACTGGACTTGGCCTCGGTCTCCTCCATCCAGGCTGTGGTGGAAGCCCTCATCCAGAACGTGGACACTCTCTTCCCCGAAGGTAGGGCCAGGGCATCACTTGGTGGGGCACAGCACAGAGTGACAGGGAGTGGAAGGGAAGGGAACATTTCTCCATCTCCAGGAGGAGAGAAGAGGGAGGCTGCTCTGGCTCCCTGCTGTGGGGTCATTGCTCTGGGTGGCAAGTGCTCCCTCACAGGATCTCCTCCTTTGTCTTCACCCAGAGGTAGACTTCAATGTCTCAGGCATGTTCATGCCGCCCACAAACACGGGACTTCCCAAGGCTGCCCCAGAGGAAGAGCCAACCCCTGCGACCCCTCCAGCCAGCACTCCCACCCTTTTGGATGGAGAGGCGTAAGTCTGATGGGAGTGAGAGGCTCTGGCTGTCCCAGCTCTCCCCATGTCCTCCCTCCATCCCACCCCACACCAGGGCCATACCCTCACAGGTGGCTGCAAGGTGCCTCACAGCCAGGAGCTCCATGCCCAACCAAAGCCCGACTTGCCTTGTTCTCTGCACAGCACCACCAGGGACCCCGAGGCCAGGTCCCAGCCAGCATCCCCAGGACTGCCCAGGCCATCTCCTGAAGCTGCAGGGCCACCAGCTCCAGTGATGACTGACAACAGCATCCGCAAAGGTTGGGGTGCCCCAGATGCTTGGGAAATTACACCCCTCAGTGCCAACTCCTGGGTTAAGTCATCATCCTGCTGTTCCCCACACAAGTGGGCACTGGGGATGTCCTTCCTGCCAAATGAAGGGAAAGGCCTCTGGCCAGGGCAGCATGGCCAGGATCCAGCCAAGATGGGACCATGGGATGGATGAACTATGTCCTTCAGTGTTGGGTTGAACGCCTCCGCTAAAGAGGTGTCAAACCTCATGGCCCTTTGTGAGGGGAAGAGGGAAAAGCCCCCAGAAAAGCTGGTGTGTGTTCGTGTCTTCAGGACAGGAGCTGGGCAAGGGGCAATGTGTCTGACCCCCTGCCCGGCCCATGGCATTGCAGCCGCTCTGCCCTCTGCAGAGAGCCCAGCCCAGCTCCGCTTTCTTTCCAGGCAAACGCCCAGCGCCGGCCCGACCCGCAGTGCCACCGCCGCCTGTGGCACAGCCCCGGAGCACAGCTCCTGCCCAGGCTGCCAGCCCCAAAGCCCTGCCTCGACGGACAGCGCCCGGCCGAGCCCCCTCCGTGCCGCCGCCGCTCCCTCCGCAGCCGGCACCGCGCCTCAGCCGGGAGGCCCCGCCGTCCCCCAGGCCTGCCGCCGGCGAGGCTGGCACGGCGGCGGCTGCCGCGGACTGTGTGGCACCCGCAGAGGAGGTGCCCCCGGCCACATCGGCCCCAGAAGGACAGCCCTCAGAGAACTGAACAGGGGGAGAGGCGTGGAGGAATCACAGCCTGGGGAGACGGGACCTGGCCCCTCTCTGGGACCCTGCAGACGCTGTGGAAGTGCCAGGGTGGCCTGAGGGATAGCGCCACTCCATCTTCCGCCTTGTTCCCGTGGCTCACACCACCTGGCATGCTTTGCCTGCCTTCTCTCGCTCTCCTGTCTTGGTCTCCACCTCCCCACACTACCACATCCCTGCCAGATCCCTGCCCGGATCCCCACTGCAGGCCCGGACACTGCTTGCAGCTTTCGGGCCAGCACGGGCAGCTTGGCCCCGTGGGGCCATTCGCTCAGCCATGACCCCAGCCCCATTTTGCCTTAAAACGCATTGCCTCAGGATCATCTGTGAGATGGGTTATATATAAATACAGGGCCCCGTGGGGCCATTCGCTCAGCCATGACCCCAGCCCCATTTTGCCTTAAAATGCATTGCCTCAGGATCACACAGATTGATATGTATAAATATAGGTATATAGATATAGATATATATATAGATATAGATGCATATATTTGGAGTGCATGTTCAATTAGGCTGAGGGAGCTGGGGTTGTTTGGCCTGTAGAAAAGGAGGCTCGGGGGTGCCCTGGCGGCGGCGGCGGCAGCATGGCGAGCTGCCGGCGGCTGAGCGGCGCGGGGCTGCGGGAGGTGCTGGGCCCGGCGCAGGGGCTGCTCTTCGACTGCGACGGCGTCCTGTGGGCGGGCGAGCGCGCCGTGCCCGGCGCCCCCGAGCTGCTGGAGCGGCTGCGGCGCAGCGGCAAGGCCGCCCTTTTCGTCAGCAATAACAGCCGCCGCTCGGTGGCCGAGCTGGAGCGGCGTTTCAGCCGCCTCGGCTTCCGCGGCGTGCGCGCCGAGCACGTCTTCAGCTCGGCGCTCTGCTCCGCGCTCTTCCTCCGCCAGCGCCTCCTCGGCGGCGGCGGGAACGGCGGCGGCGCCGGCCGCGTCTTCGTGCTGGGCGGCGAGGGGCTGCGCGGCGAGGTGCGCGACGCCGGGCTGCGGCTGGCGGGCGAGGGCGAGCCGGCGCCCGGCGAGCCCGTGCGCGCCGTCCTGGTGGGCTACGACGACCAGTTCACCTTCGCCAAGCTGGCGCAGGCCTGCGGCTACCTGCGCGACCCGCAGTGCCTGCTGGTGGCCACCGACCCCGACCCCTGGCACCCGCTCAGCGACGGCCAGCGCACCCCCGGTGAGCCCGCGCCCCGTCCCGCGCCGCCCCGGGGGGAAGGGGCTGGTGGCACGGGTGGGCATCGCTGGCCCAGGCGGCTCCCTGAGCGGCAGGACGAGCGGGGATCCCTGGCAGCTCCCGGAGCGGGGCTGCCGGCGTCCCGCGTGTGCCGCCGCTAGCTCTGTTCCTCCCCTTCCCTCCCTGCAGGGACTGGCAGCCTCACGGCCGCGGTGGAAACGGCTTCGGGCCGCAAGGCGCTGGTGGTGGGCAAGCCCAACACGTACATGTTTGAGTGCATCGTGGAGCGTTTCGGGGTCGACCCGTCCCGCACGCTCATGGTGGGAGACCGCCTGGAGACAGACATCCTCTTCGGCAAGAACTGCGGCCTTGCCACCATCCTCACCCTGACAGGCGTGTCCCGCCTGGAAGAGGCGCAGGCCTACATGGCCAGCGACAGCGCCGCCGCCAAGGATCTGGTGCCCAATTACTACGTGGACAGTATTGCAGACTTGATACCAGGCCTGGATGAGTAACAGCTTGTACGTGTGAGGGCAGAGGGGTCAGGTTCCCCATCCCAGACCTCCATCTGTTCCCATTTCTCTCTCACTGCCCTATTCCCTCAATTCCTGGTTTCTTCACGTGCCAACATCCTTCTTCGGGGCAAAATGGGAAGGGGACAGGTTTCAAGTTTTCTCCTTTCTGTTGAGAGCTATCCATGATGGACAGAGTCCTTGTCTCCCTCACTGCCAGCATCTTTGGGAGAGAGCTGGAGGCCGTGAGGCTGCCAGGGGGGTCAAATCAATGTCTATGTGGCCTCTCCAGGGGCACAGGACTGGCTGCTTTAGTGTTATTTTTCCCTTGGATAACCACTGGCGGCCTTTTACTGCTGTCCTTTGACTTGTAACTCTTTACTTCTGAGCAGCATCCCTGCAGACCTTGTGGTAGCCCCCTCCTTGCCAGGGGACTGGCTGGCATTGTCACCCACCTGGTGTCTATCAGTGCCAGGACACGTGGAAGGAGTGTGCCAGACCTCTGGAATCACGAATGAGAGCATCTCTGCCTCCCACAAGTGAAAGAGAGCATTGCCTCATCTCTTGTCTCCCCTGTTCCTTAGAGATGTTTCCCCCAGTACCCCCCTGCCCCAGTTAATAACTGTGCCAGTGTCCATCTGAGGGACAGAAGAGGCCAGTTTGAGGGTTTTTCCTGTGCCAAACAGACAAGCTGTGACTGCACAGTGGGTCTGCAGTTGTACTTTGCTTTCAAGCACCCTTTCTGCAGGGGCTTTTGAAGGACAGAGGGCTCCTAGACCATGACAACACAGCACTGGTGAACTGTGTGACTCTCCCTGGTTGCCCCTTCTCAGTTGGATTTTGTCATAGTACAGTGAGAGAAAAGTGCTGATGGGGGTCTGTGCTCCAGCTGCCAGTGTGCAGTGAGGTGGTGATGGTGTTGTCACTGCTGTGAATGTGTCACAGTCCTCAGAATCATTCCTTGCTGCTTTGTCTTTATATGGTTTTTTTTTATTATTATTTTCTTGATCTAATTTATCGAACTTATTTATTGTTCAAATATTGTATTATTTGTATAAATTATGCTGACTGGTTGCACCAAGGGGACAGAAGGGAGTGCCTTTGGGCATCCCTTACTGTCCATGTCCCATGTTGATGTTCTTACACTCACTGTGTCTCTGTATATAATAAAGTGTGAGCATAGGCTGGAAATTACCTCTTTTTTTTTTCTTTTTTTTTTTTTTCCCATCAAGATGGAACTGCCCTAGGTACCTTTGAGCCCTCACAGGCGAGGACATGGCAGGACCTTTCCTCACTCCAGGGGGTGCTGCTGGGCAGACAGGACAGCTGGGTAGTCTGGTGGCTGGTGTCTTGGAGCTGCCCTTTGCTGCAGCCCTGGTGCCCCAGCACCGGCTGTGGTGGAGAGTGCAGGGTCCAGCCAGCTCACTTGGAGCAGTGAGAGATGCAGCCCTTGCCAGCTGCCTTTGCATTTCACAGCACCGGGATTCATTGCTGGGGAACAGTGACCTCTTGTGCTGCACCTGAAGGCTGCCCTCTGCTAGCCCAGTGATGTGTGTGGCCCTGCTGGGGAAGGGGTGAGGTGCCACCTCTGTTATGTGCACAGGGTTTGCAGGGGGCTGAGAACTGCCCAGGCAAGGCTTTGCTGTGACCCTTCTTGACGGTGCTATGCTGTAAGTGACAGGGAGATGGCTGTCACCGTGCCCCTGGGGTGACCTTAACTGAGCTGTGGTTGCCATGTCCTGGGTTTGTCCGCACTCCCAGCCCAGACGGCGAAAACGGATTGGGTAAGAAAAGTTGGAAGTGACTCAAATGTACTTTGCCTCCATTCCCCACACAGGAACCAACCCTCCCCTCTGTCTGTCAGACCCCTTTAACTGCTGTTGATGGCAACCAAACGTCCCATCCCATCTCCTGCTGGAGAGATCAGCACTGAGCATTCATAACTGTGCTCTGTGTAAGGGTCAGCTCACACGGGAGGAATGGATGCAACTTATTGTCCCTAGGATGGTTCCAGGTTCCAAGTGCCTTTGTTTTTTCTGTCCAAAATAACCTAGGAAAGAGCCTTCCAAAAGAAAAGGACATCCAAAGAGCTTTCTGAAGATTGCCTGTCATTTTAATCAGTCCCCTTTGTTTGTGCCCATTTCTCTCTTTTGTCTGTCCCATGTCCAATTAGGCCATCAGAGGACTGGTAGTCCCTTAAAGAGTACTTGATCAACACTTGCATCATTAAGTAGAGCAAGACTGAGACCTAATGTGTCTGCTAACTTGGCTTGCCAATCTAGAGATACCCAGACCCTGGTTTTTATTTTTCAGAGCTCTCAGTTCTTGTATCAGGCTGAAATTTGAAGCACTGCTCTTGTGACTTCGGGGCCACAGCCAGAAATGCTCAGTATGGCTGCAGATTTCCCTGGCTGAGTTAGTTACATGTGGGTCTACAGAGGAGACTGGGCACAGTGAGAACATCTCCAGGGCATGCCCCCTTTTTTCTAGGGTGCTTTCAGGGTGAACGCTTGTCTGCTCTGCTCTTTCCAGTTCTCCCAGGCAGCAGATGGGATGCTGCAGGCTGTAGTCTCCCAGGCTGGCACACTGGAAACAAAACAGGAAATTCAGTGGCTGGTCAGAGTGTTCCAGCCTGTGTTTGGGGCCCCTCCAAAGGTACTTTGGAGTTTGTCCTTTGGATTCCAAATGGTGAGCCTGCAGAGTAGGTTTTTTTCATGTGACTGCTGCTGAAGGCAGAGCTCAGCAGACATGATGGCTGATCCCTATCTCTTGTGACCATGTAGCTTTTCATCTGCTGTGTCTCTCCATGTGGGCTTTGCTGTGAAGCAGAGGTGGACCTGGAGCAGAAGGGTTTATCTGTCCTTCCCTTGGTTCCTCATGTAGGTGAGGACATTAGGCAGGGGTGACTTCTGCCCTGTATACATCAGTGCAGCTGCTCCTGCTCTGAACGGGGATGGAGCAGCACTGTGGGGGTCCATCAGCTCTGCCAGGCTTTGGTTTTGTGTGGCTCCCCTCTACTAGTATCACTCCTGCATGTAATGGATGTGCATGTGGGCAGACTTTTTCAGGAAACTAGACTGACAGCACCCCTGGGGGCGAAGAGCTCCCTACCCAAGCCTGTCAGACATCCATTCAGCTGCTGACAGTAAGGGGTCTGTGATCCTCATGGGGTTCAGGCTCTGGTTCCCTCTGGGATAGGTCTGGTAGGGCTGCAGATAACATCTGCTGTTTAAACTGAAAAAAGCAATGGTTCTTGCCTAAGTCAGCTGATTTCCTCTTGTCTAACACAGCTTTTCTTCTTGGGTTGAGTGTTTAGGGAAGCAGTGCAGTTGCCAGGGAGGACAGGGCTGTGAAGTGTAGAGCTGTGGCAGCACACAGGAGGGTGGAACAGATGGGAAGCCCCACTTGGTGTAGTGTGAGTAAAGGTATTTATTTTCTCATCCTCAGAAAGCTCACTGCCCTCCCCTGCTGTGCAACAGAAACAACACCCAGACAGGTGGCAGTTGTTCCATTAGACCAGAAAACTCCTGTCCTTCAGCCATAAGTGCAGTTACTGTGGCAACCGCTGGCTGGATGATGTCAGCTGCAACTTGCTGAGCATTGCCTGCTCTGGGCAAGGCTTTATTGCCTTAGTCATCTTCGTGCCCCTTCTC